GAGTTTCAACAGCGAAATTTCGGTGATCGCACGAGCAACAAATCCGTGGCCATAGATTACCCGGTGGTTGCTGCGGATCGTTTCCGATAAACGTCAGTATAGCATCGAGGATACTGGTTAGGCGTTGGCTCACGATGCCGGATCTATAGAGCTGGCTTAGCTTTGACAATGGCGCCAGTACACAGCCGAGCCACAACAAGTTGCCGTGTGACCTTAATGGACTTTCGATTGAATCCTCCGGAGCAGAGGGACAGGCATCTCGCCTGATGGACAACCGCACGATGCACACGCTGACACACGCGATGAAGGAGAGACGGTGCCAACGATTCAGCGAACAAAAGGTCCATTCAACGACCATTCCTCGTGGAACGAAAAAAGGTTATCACGTGTTTCCTTCCAATTTGTTTTCCATTTTCTCTGACCGTGGCCCATGATCCACGTTGGCTGTCCGAAACGAGTCGAAGAAGATTCTCTTGGTTGGGAGGTTATTAAGGATGATCGACGTCTGTCGAGACTCTAGCCATCTAGACATTGCACAGAGCTGGTTCTGGGGTGCCTGATTAGCCATTATTCTCGTGTATCCTTGTTAATGGCTTGGTCAATCGCGTCTACAGGTGTTTGGGATGACGAGAAGGTAGAGGAAGATGATAGCTAGCTATTGTGCCATATTTTCTGGCAATGCGTGTCTGTGTTTGATGTGACACAGACCTGGAAATTAGACAGCATGACGTTCAGTGGTTTAGAACCTAAAAATGGGATTTTCTCACGGTACCAGGCTACTTGTTTAGCTTATAGGAGTCTAATCAAGTCATCTCTGCACTGTAGGTTTCTTTGAATATGACGATTGGAATGACTGATCGATGATGATTGTTCTTGTCTGTCAGTTTATGAAGATTGGCTGACGATGAGATAATCTAGCAAAATATTACAAGTATGCTTAGCACGAAGAGGACTTGCACGAGATTATCAGGAAGTAACGACTAAATCAGAGTTTCTCAACATTTTGGATCAGGGAAAAAATGGAAGAATCGAGAGTAATGGATATCCAATATTGGATAGCTATCATAAATTCAATGTTTAGGGGACACGAAGAAAATAGGGTAAGGCGATAATAGTGGATGCCTATAGATGCTCAAAAGGGAGGCATAAGCCAATTAAGGTTGAGAAACCCTGGTCTAAAGGAGGCTTTCAACGAGCCCTAATATACGTCAGTAATTACGATCCTGATGAAGATGAACACTCGCTTTTGTCTCGAATCCTAGATCATGGTACTTGCGGCAGCGTGTTGAATTCGACAAAGTATCTATTAATTATCCGTGTACACTAAGATCTACTACACACATTAAAATCGCGTTCCACACTAACCAAATCTCACGGAGCTATCTAACAAATTCGAGCCCGAATTTCGAAACCTCAACCTACGAATTCTCTTGTAGCGAGGGCATGCAAATGAACTCACATTACCATTTCCACCATTCCATAAAATCTGCATACGAACCTTCTGTGCCTGCGATCCTAAATCGCAACATTTACATTCTTTTTCGAGGAGGAAAGGGTCGGGTGAACGCGAAGAAGACGCAAGAGGGACACGAAGTGCCTCTCGAAGCAGCGTGTCTTGTTCGTCAATTTGACAACCGCACCTCCACCCAGTCTTTCCTCCATTCACGACTACGAATCGTCGTGCGAGACTAGACAATGTCGTAAACTCGATTTCGTCAGTGAAAAGCGTCTGGGGGACCGCGTAGAGGAGCGACTGGCGGACGACAAGATGGCGCCGCGGCGGAGGACAAGATGGCGCGCGGCGGAGGACAAGATGGCGCGCGGCGGAGGACAAGATGGCGCGCGGCGGCGGACAAGATGGCGCCGCGGGTGAACTCGGGTCGAGTGGATAGGCGAACGCCTGGGAATGTCGGATTAATGCGGCCACGGTAATGGTCGCGGGACGATGTCGTTGTATCCAGAGACGAATGTAAATTATGGAGGTGACACGGTAACACACGAGCGCGCGCCTGTGTGCGATGTTCGATGGAGGTGCGAGAGTAATCAGCGGGATTTATGGGTTACGTGTGCTTCGAGGTGGATGACGTGTGAAAAGTATGCACCCGTTCGTCACATCGTGCTTTTGCAGTGTGAAACGCGTCCCTTTCGGGACAGTACGTTGTGTCACTGTGCCTGTATACTTGGTAGAAGGAGTATAGAGCCTCGGTCACGTCCAAGTGACTCGTCAAGCGATTGCCTCGAGGGTTTACGCTGTTAAACGGCCGTTCGTGAGAGGGTCTTTCAAGAAAGTTATGTGAATAACTGTTTAACTGGTTTGGAGGTACGCCAATTTTCGCGTCTAAAATTGCTGGTAATTTCGGAAGAATAGAGCATGGTATTCAATTTTTAGGGCTTCGTTTCCCGCGAATTCCGCTGAAATAAAGCGTGGAATTTTGTTAGCAGGAAAATAGAATTGATAATTTGATAGTTGCATATTTCAGAAACTCCGTTAGAATTATTTCATTCATTTTTCTGCAATCCGATTTTTCGTGGTTTCATATTCAGCCTGGAATAAATTGGATAGGATATAGATACTCGTGTATCGAATTGTTAGAAGCGGGAAAATCCAGACAGAAATCACTGGAAGTAAAAATACTCGATACTCTCATAGTTGTATATTCCACTATCCAATTTTTCTCTGATTTATCCGATATTTTGTACTTTGACAATTATTATAAACTACATAGCCACAGAATTATTATTAAAAACGATGCTATATCTAATAATTTTCTCAAGTATACTAGCAAATATCGACAACAAAATTCCACACTAAATTCTCTTATTTATACCCGATTTAAACTTTCTTGAAATTTATTAGACCGAAAGAAATTCCGGAATTAAAATCCTATCGCAATAACTATAACCTCAAAATTTTTACTAAATTACCCCGCAAAATTGGAACAGACATAAATTGCAAGATCTCTCACCACGACAGATGTACAGTACAGATCTTGCAGTACTTCCTCCACCAAGTATACACGGTATCTCTCCAATATACCCGAGAACCAAATCGATAAAGCATCATTTCGTACCGTGTGTGTAACTAATCAAGGTCCGTGTTTCGTGTTTAACTCTAACGCGTGGCTTCTCTACAAGCTAGTCTCTCACAACTCTACGTCCACGGAACAACATTTACAAAACTCTCCTCGAGTCCAAATCGGGAAAGCAAGACATCTCGTCTAAGTCGCACAGTGCCACAGTTCGCTATACCGAATACAAGATGGCCTCTACGCACACCGCCATCTTCTCAACGACGCCACCGGAGTGAAGTTGGCGCGTATGGTGCAACCTACGGTACACACGCACGTTACCACGCATTTTCGATCATGTAACGGATCACGGGACGATTCTCTCCCTCGTTTATAGCCGAATTGACAGCGAAAAGAGGTAGAGTAGACAGCGAAAGAAAGACAGACAGACGCAGAGGCAGAAATGGAGAGCGAGAAAGATAGAAGCAGAGCAGTAGGCGAAAAGAGAAGAAATGAGAAAGAAAGTGAAAGAAAATTGAGTTAACGTGTTCACTGATTGGATTTCCATTAGACATGCTACATGCTAATAAATGGTTCACATACGAGATATATTTTGACACTTTATCGACGGGATCTTTTAATTCCTGCACTAAGCCACGATACTTGCACATCTTAATCCGATTATCTGTACAGTCACTCGAGGAAGTATTCGAACAGCTCATGTTCTTCAAGAATCTTCAGTAATCGAAGTAAGTATACGCTATAGATTGGTATTTTCAGAACAATACAAGTGTCAGGAAAGAATTTGACAGGTAACGGAGAATTATGTCGAATCAACATACTTTTCAATTATCACGCACAATTTTTGGAGTTCAAATACTTTTGTTCATCTTTATAAACGACACATTTGCGTTCGATATTTCTCAAATTCCTCATTTGTCGAATTTTTTTCATGATTCCTCACAAGCACACTTGTACTTTCTTATTGTCATTATTTAAAAATTACTATAGCACAATTATCCTACCGATTTACAAAAATATATACGTTATTAAAACTTTGAATTGCAAGCCTTCGAATACCTCTATAATCGAGTGTATCTAACCAAAATTGTATTCGTAACACCAATCGCGATATCCCGTCGTCAAAGTTTTGAAAACTCTACAAAAGTCACTCAACACCTGAGTCCTTCATCTATGCAAGTCACTACGAAAATATATCTCCAAGATATCCCTGCAATCTACATCCGACCACGATATTACACACGTGTATTGACAGCAGATACACGATATCTGAGCGTTATCTCGCTACACGCACAGTGAACGTGTTAACAGAGAACCCGGCTAGAACAAGTGAGAGAATCGGGGACCGTGATCCACTGGACCGTTCGTGGGACCTGTCTCTAGCTCTCTATTAGGACACAGAAATGCGAGGAACGGGTGCATTCCGACAAACGGCACAGCCAAATCGCTATCACAATATAGAATATATAGATAATATATAGACGTGACAGTGAGTAACAACAGTAAGAGCAGCAGCCGGCAGAGCGTCAGACCCGATGATGGAAATTAAATCAACGATCACAGATAAACATGGTACAGTATATGCGAACGAACAGAATAAGAAAGATGTGTGAGAGAAATATATAGGGTGAACAGGTGGCGAGTTGACAGGCTGTGCTGCGAGAACGTGGCAGAGAAACAGGGACGAGAGATGATGGGAGTCGGCAAGGTAGAGGGACAGATGAGGCGACGCGCGTGATCTGACGCATGAGGTAAGAGATGAGTGAACAAATAAGGAAATAATAACAGTAGTAACAGTAATAATAAGAATACATCGAGGCACACAGGTGGTACACACAATATGTAATCGTATATAGATAAGATAAGACGAAATGTAACGTAATCGAGCGCTGCACGTTTCATCGCTTCGTCGAACGGATGGGGTGCACAACCGGTCATGGCCGGTCATGGCACAACGAGCTGGCCACAAACCTGTAATGGCGATCTTCGCGGACCACTTGCTGGTACCTTCCAGAACCGACTCCTTCACCGACGTCATGTGACCCGTATATGCTTCCTCGTTGACCCCGAAGACTGACCTAAACTCCGACGAGACTTTCTTTCACATGAGCTGTGCCAATGGCCTAGATCTCGTCCTACCTGTTCCACTCTCTCTATCTACCCTTTCGCCTCGCTTCCACCCGACCACCACTCGTTTCATTTTCCTTTTTCAACCCTTCCTCAGCCGCCCAACGCGTTCCCGAAACTAACCCGACCCACCCAACTATTGTTCGCTTTCCGCTTCGCCTTTTTCTTTTTTCCCGCTCTTTTCCTTTCATCTTCAAGCGTCGCGTGCGACGTGTAACGCGTGCTCGTCGTCGTAATTGCATCCAGGGACAGTCCGCTGCGTTAAGGGTCGCTAATGGGCTACCTGCTTTCTTTTCCCACCCTCTTGTCAGCTTCACAGGCTTTCTCTCCAGTTAGGCGAATTTCGTTGGATATATCTTCTCGGGGGGTACATGGAGATTACTCTGAGGGAATCTGGGTCTTGGTTATCGGTGGGGTTCACGTGGGTAGAGAAAGTCTGACGAGCTAGGGAGTCAACATTGGATACGAGTTTACGCCTCTACTAGCCTTTTCTATTATTTTCATTATCGAGTTTTGGACTGTTAGAACATTCCATATGTAACGAGTAGATAAATATTTTATCTAGAACTTTGGCACCTTTTATCTATTACCTAGGTATATATTTGCATTTTCATATTTTCATTTTTATCTACGTCATGCGCGATATCCTGATGCTTCAGATTTCCAATTAACGTTAAAAATACAGGCTGCTGTATTTCCTTCCTCGTAAACACACAAAATTCTGGCTACACAAGGTTAAATTTACGACCTGACCACGTCACACACTGCACGCGACACTTTGTACACAGTATATCCCGCCGAGGCTCTTTCCATTCAATTACCAAACCAAAGATGCGTGTCCAAGAGCTAAAATTCATACACGTATTACCACGAATCGGAAACACATTGATTATTTCGAAAATTTAATTCTTTATATATTTATAATTTCAAATTCCCTTCGAATATCTCCCTATTATTTGAATAATTTTCACGTACTTCGAAGAAGAGTAAGGAATTCGATAACTCCGATAATTTAAGTTCTACCGTGTGCATGAATTCTGTTTAATACGAGCTTTTGCATTCTAAATTCACGTCGAGTCGAGAAATAGTATAATCAACTGAGTTTTCACGCGATGAGAAATTCGTCGCCATTATTTTTGACCGACGAATATATAATATATAATAATTCAGTTGCCGGGATCTCAGGGTAATAACGCGCGGAACAAAGCAGCGCCGCCACGCGGGGCCGCGGCGTACTACGGACGGTTCTGACGGCACGGATATCTTTAATGGACACGCAACCTTTCGCAACGCGATCGTTTGCCAGATGGTACCATAACCGAACTTGGTTCGCGTACCTTCGACCTTCGAGAGCCACGGTCGGGACACACGACCGGCGGTCATCTTTTATTTCTTTTCTAGCCCCTCAGAGAAGACGAGACCCGGCCTTGTGCATGGTACCGAGGTTTTCGGTTCGTTTCACACGTTCGTCCTCGCATCTTTTTACCCTGGCTCACAGTCGCCATTGCCTGGCCCCTTTTCGCGTTACGGACACGCTCAAAGAGATCGCTATCCGATCGTATTGTGTCGTCGGGTTCTCACTGCTGGACACGTTGCCTTCGATTCCGCTTTGTACACCCTGCGCGATTTCTGGCATACCGGACCATAGTGTCGGGACACCATTATGTCTCATCGAGAGGTAAGGATGTATATATAATCGCGTGTAAATAGTGCTGCGTGGTGCTATGTGCACATCTCGTTTAGGTGCTGATGCCTGTTACGTTTTGTTGAAATCATTTCTGCCAATATTTATTGGTGTCTTGGAGATTTTGCGCCTGTTATTATACTAATTGCAGAGTTTGTGTTAGTTCTTTTCAGATTTTTGATAATAATGCAGTCTAATAGTTAAAAGTGACGAGTATTATAGGAAATGATGCATTTCTTGAATTAGGTATAATACATGAGGAATTATTTCTTCCAATATTTATTGGTGTCTTGGAGATTTTGCGAGTGTTATTATACTAATTGCAGAGTTTGTGTTAGTTCTTTTCAGATTTTTGATAATAATGCAGTCTAATAGTTAAAAGTGATCAGTATTATAGGAAATGATGCATTTCTTGAATTAGGTATAATACGTGAGGAATTATTTCTTCCAATATTTATTGGTGTCTTGGAGATTTTGCGCCTGTTATTATACTAATTGCACAGTTTGTGTTAGTTCTTTTCAGATTTTTGATAATAATGCAGTCTAATAGTTAAAAGTGACGAGTATTATAGGAAATGAGGTATTTCTTGAATTAGGTATAATACACGAATAATTCGTAGGGTATTTTCTGAATTATTTCTTCCAATATTTATTGGTGTCTTGGAGATTTTGCGCCTGTTATTATACTAATTGCAGAGTTTATATTAGTTCTTTTCAGATTTTTGATAATAATGCAGTCTAATAGTTAAAAGTGACGAATATTACAGGAAATGAGGTATTTCTTGAATTAGGTATAATACACGAATAATTCGTAGGGTATTTTATTGTTTTTTTGAAAAATCACTGAAATTATCAAAAATTCGCAATTAAAATATGTACCCTTCAATTTTATTATACTTTGTTAAGAATTATATTTGTTTTTCGTATAGGTACAGGATATATTTTTATTTCTATAGCCTGTTCTGTATTGTACCGTACTACATAACTTGTTCTATTTTTCTTTCCTAATTATATGGTTATACAGTGCACAATTTCATATATTTCTATAACCGAAGTCGTCTTTGCAAGAAAGATCCATTTAATCCAATATTAAAAAAATATTTCTCTAAAATAAAAAATTTACATTTCGATAATTAAAAAAGCTTTCGAACCTTTTTAATTAATTATTAAATTCCAGTTCACGAATACATTTTTCAGAAACCATTTCAATAACATGGTTTTAATTCCCACCATGCACAAGTACAACGATTCTAGACTCGTAATTTCTCCGTTCATTTCGCATCCTCCGAAGCAAAATCTCCGAAAAGGATAGAGAAAAAGGCTCGTAGACCAGTGCACAGAAAAATGGTCGAATACTGCGAAATATGGAAACATTTTCATTAACCTTGTTCCGTGTATCTCGCGCGCAAAAAAGGAAGGAAATGAGGGAAAAAAATCGGAAAAATTCCCATGAAAAATCGTTCCCTTGTTTTTCGACGTTTCGTGTATTCACTTTTTACCCCCCCCCCCCCCCCCCC